AGTGGAAAGAGTCCAACCCACAGGGGAGTTGACTCTTTCCACTCCTTCTGCTAAAAAAATTCCTAGGCTGCTGGGGGCAGCGCCGGAATACAGCGGCTTCCTCATCTCGGCCATGCTGCGCAGGGCAGCCAAAAGGGCAGAGATGGGGGGGGGAGTTGAAACGGAGGCAGTTCATGCAGGGCAGAAGCAGCATGAGGTCCTCACTTAACAACCGTAACTGGGACTGCCCAGACTACTGTTGGTAAGTGGCACAGTCACACTATGTTTTGCTTAACAATCGCTTCACTTAGCAGTGGAAATGCTGGCCCCAATTAGGGTCATAACCCGAGGACTACCTGTACAAAGATCACAAGGATGAGTTTCCTCTTGTATACAGCTGGCCACTAATGCAACACATGGTGATTCTAAACACTTACTTCATACTTGCTAATTGAGATACGCTGATTAACATCCTCAGTGGCTTCTTCATCTGAATGCCTTAATAATTTGCTGTCCTAAGTGTACTATCAATCTAAATAATGTTCATCCCAACTTTACAGAATACTGATTATGCACCATCCAGTTGGTGTTGATTCTTAGCAACCACACTGATAGATTTTCTCTATGATGATCTGTCCTTAACCTGGTCCCTACAGAATATACAACTCACAAATACCAACAAAGGCCTCTGAAGCATAAGCCAAGTTTCCAAAACCCCAAGCTACAATTACAGACAGCTTTGACGTTTCATTAGAAGCCCTGTTCTGAAGCTCAGAAAGTTTAGCTTCTCTTCCTTGGAAAGATGGCATTTTGCAAAGACAAGGCTCAGTCTCTGGACGAAGAACTGAGGAGTTTTCAAAACCTACGAATTTCAGCCCAGCCTCCGGACAAACCCATACCAGGACGTTCACCTGATATTCCCCCCCGCCCCCATTTTCCGAAGACTCCTCCAACCGGGCGCCCGCCAGGGCTGCCCAACTGCCCCTCGAGGCATCTGCAGAGACCCAGCCCAAAGCGGGCTCCTCCCG